AGCTTTTACAGATGTTATATAAAAAACTGTTGAATCTAATTTAAAATTAGCAATAGATCTTACAAAACAATTAAATAACGTATACTTAAATATTATATTGTAGTTTTGTGCACTAAATAACAGTGCTCACAACCAAAAAACTAACAACGAAAGAAAATACTTTTGCATTAGATTTTTAAACATTGCTGTTTTTCTCCCAATTACATCATCGTGAGAATAAAGGTGATATCTGGTTATAATTTTTCCGACCATCTTTAAATATTGTTGTTGAAAAATTGTTAACTTTTCTGGTTTTTGAGATATTCGTGCTGGACCTAAATGGCAAATTAAAATTTAATATGAACAGTTGATTGTTTTTTATGAAGATTATCTTAACATAAGAAAAAATAACTTAATAAAAATTTAATAGATAATTATAAAAATAAAAGTAGATTATTTATATATTTACTTTAAAAAAAACTAGCTCGATAAATATAAAAAAATATTTTTAGTTAATGCTTATAGCATCTTTTTAAAAAAAAAATCCTACGGTGCAAAATAATTAGTTTTGCAAGTTGCATTTTTAATTCTTTTTTTTTATCAATTTCTGACAACATTCTATTAATGTTTATTCAATAAATTTATTTCATTATTTTTTTGTCATTTCTAACTATGTAATACTCATTCACATCACTCGTGTAAATCTAATATATAGAAGTTAAAAAGAATTAAAAATTTCAAAATGCTACATGCGAATTTTAAACAATCTCACTTTTTTGCGTTGCTTGTGTAGCACAAAATCGAATCACTAAAATGTTTTATGTACATAATTAGCAAGATTAAATATTTGCTATAATATTAGGTTATTTACAGTAGACAAAAATAATTGCAGCCTACTGCTTAAGGTAAAATTACAATATCCACGATTTTTACCTTAATAATACATAAAAAATAAAAAGAAATGCTTGTTCAACAGTGAATTGCGCCTTGGTTCGAGATTCTAGTCATTATAAAACATTTAAAATCAATAATTACTCTATGGGAAAGCCAGACACCTTACTAGTGAATGATTAATATGCAAAATCGATTATAGACTGGAAGCCTTGTGTAGCCAACGAGCTGTAAATAAACGTATTTGTCTCTAACGTTCAATCGACAATATCGGTAACTTAGCAACAGCTAAGTTTGGAACTTTCGATCTCGTCAGGAACTTGTAACGTGCTCCTTCGTTTCGCATGTAACAATAGGTGGCCGCAAAAGAACAAAATCCATACGACTGCACCATTAATTCTAACGACGAAACTTTCCTCCACGATCAAGTTTACGGCTACAAAAAACTATTGACGGCTATAACGATAAACTTACAATAAATTCACTTCAACCATGCTATCTTTTCCTTCTCTGCCTCTAATGGCGAAGATAGCATTTGTCTGCAGTAGGAAAATATTGTTTGTATCACAATAAATGGAGAAACAACATGTGGTGCATGGCATCATGCCTTAAGACAAGTGGTTGCAACTACCAACTTTAAAAGTAAATATTAAATGAATACAAATTTGAAATTGGAGAATTATAAAACACTTGCGATGACTTTAGGCTAACAGCCCTTCATACAAAATCGACCCGTCATTTAATTTTAAAAACCGTTTTGAAAATATCCTTTATAGAATCTGAAATTTGGAAAATACATTACCGTAGTTATATTCACATTAATTTAGCCTAAATAAGACAAATTATCTATAACAAATAATGAAAAACTTTAATTTACAGGCGATCGGAAAAGTAAAAATAGATTTTCTTTTTAATTTTGGTTGGGATTTGGTTTTGCGGTGGGTTAGAAAAACTAATATGGCGTGTTTTTCATGAAAACTTGAAAGTGGTATAATTTAAATCATAGATGAGTTTAGAAAATGCTTAATATAAACACGGCACCAATTAATTATTAACAAAAATTTTTTTTTTTTTGGTAACTCGATCGGAACAAAAAGGCCAATCAAAGTGCGCAAAAAAGCATGTTTGACGATGAATATCAATGTTATTATATTTTGAATATATTATACGAATGTAAGTCGCTACATATACCGGAAAACAAATCATTCATGCAATACAATAATATTTATAATCTTACCCAATTTATTCATCAATTGATTAGATTACCTGAAACAAAAAAAAACATCATTAGTAAACACATGTAGAAACACACACACACACGCACACACCCACACATACACACATATGTATGTATATTTAAGAATATGAACAAACAGCTCTCTTTTTTCACAAATTTATTAAATAATATTAATTTTACAAACTTTTCGAGACTATACTTTTAAAAGAAGCATTGCTGAATTGATGTTACTAGCTCACACAACAAATACTGTAAATTTACGGACAGATACCAATATATTGCTCGATAACTATCTAAACCTTATACTTTTTAGTTTCTCTATATGTATGTATGTATGTATATATATATATATATATATATATATATATATATATATATATATGTACACGTATATTTAATTATAATAATTTAAAGCAATTCTTTTTAAATTAAACCGTTTTTTATCAAAAAATATTCTTTTATCTCCTAGCGACATCTATTTTTCAACTGGACCCTATTCTTTCTCATTCCTATTTCATATTTCATGACTCATTAAGTTGACCTTGTATAGAGGTATCAGACGCCGACAATTCGTAGACACTATTAGTAAGAATAAGTTGTAACTGATAACACATAATACTATTTTAGATTTTCATATTGTAGATTTTAAATTATAATACACGATGATGAGACAAACCTAGTCTCGAAACGTTTGCGAAATTAATATTATTTAATAAATTAGTACAAAAAATTAGTGCTGTTTGTTCATATTTTTAAATTAATACATTTGTATTAGTAATTAAAAAGTAAAGAATACATTTGTTATATATATATATATATATATATATATATATATATATCCAAAATAATTAATTAAGGAAATACAAATTTTCCGTTTTCAAGAGATTAATTAATTCTCAAATTAATCCCTAAGGTCCCTATTGATAAGCGTGATAAGAATAAATTAAGATTAAATAGAAAACATGAAATAGTCTTTAGAGTGAGAGGCCCCAGAAAAATAGGTATTTTAATGCAGAAAGTAGTTGGTTTATTGTTAACAAAAAAATACTAGTAATGTAGAGTGTAGAGTCATTAAAAGAATGACACATAACGTCAGAGTATTATTTTCAAATTCGACAAGCGAAAGCTGGATTTATGATAACATAGTTATTTAACAATTGTTCTATTTGGAAATTAGGTTATTTATGTGAAACGATCAAACATCAAATACAGCTATTTTACAGTTACAGAAACATAACGCAACTATTTTATCCCGAGAATTAGCCCCTTAAATTATAAAACGCCTGAAGCAATTTATGAAATACAAAAGTTTTTCTGCTAATAAATTTAATGCATTCGTTGTGCAATAAAAATGATGAGAGGTGTAGAGGTGAAAAACGTCGGGAAAACACAATGATAGTCCTATTGAACAAAGTCAGATGGTTGTTTTTTTATGTGTTATTTTTTGTGATATAATTGGTGTGATTTTCACAACATAATTGCTCAAAGTATTATTTTCAAAATCTTTTTTAAATGGTCTTCATTTACATCTCTCGCATTTCTCTATAAATTTCGCAAAACATCTGATTTCATTTAGTTTATATGCTCTGATATAAATGTCACTTTTTAGATAAAAATTAAACGTCTAATTTGTACTAAAAAATAAAAAAATGTATTAAAACTAAATTAAAAAGTAAATATGACGCTACTGTATAACCATAAATATGAAGACAAAAGTTCCATTAATTTCACGTTAGATATTTATGTATTTTTGGCAGTAATATTAATCATATTCATATGTTATTTAATATCATCAAACTAAATTATGAAAGCAATGTTCAAGTAGACTACAAAATACAATCACAAATATTTTTTATTATTTCTCGGAGTACAAAATACTTCGAAATGGGTTGAGAAACCCCCCAACCTCAACACAAGCAAAATTTTCCGTAGTTTTGTGATTGTGTTTTCAACGAAAAATTTGATGAAAATTTACAATATACTTATAATTAAGGTAAACCATTATTAAAGAACGAATGTTATCAGTTTACCATAAGTAGTGAACTGATATTATATTTTCTTAATGAAAATTGTACAAAATATAATTTTAGTAATATGATTATATATCATAGATAAAATCTGATTAAAAAAAGTTACGTTGGTAAAATTTGTTGCTCATTTTTAGAATATGTAGTTATGCGTTTCGTTACATAATAATCAACCGAATCTATTTTATTTATTTGGTGCGATTCAAGAAGTATAAAAACATGAACTGTTGATATTTATTAACATATTGGATTTACATAAATCACAATAAAGTTGTGAATGTAGTATTTAACATCATTTATTCATTTTGAAAATCAAAATATTTTCAAGAAGTTTATATTTAGCAAATTTGTTCAAAAGAATACAAATAATAGTGGTAATTATTTTATTATTTGAACAACGGCATTTTTCAGAAATAAGCAAAAAACATTTAAAAATGCATTTAGTAAAATTAAAATTTTATTGTAACATCAAAATAGTTAACATTCTTTACTTTCCGATAATTTTGATACAAAAACCAATTTGATAATTTTATGTTTTCTCGACATTTTAATTCATTCTGACTCGCTTGAGACCAAAACTGAAAAAAGTAAGTGTGCGTGCATGTGAAAGAGAAACTGTTGCTTTTTGAACGACGATCGAACAAACCGTGGTTTCATAATTAGCAGATAAGTGCAAAACTTTTCGTCCGCATTAGCCAAAAACCTCAAGCAATTTTAAGATTCAAAAACATTTCGAAAGTTATTGATTGGACATCGTGCTGATTAGTTTTTGGTAAAGATTAACCCTACTTTTATTCGTAATTATTTGCTAAGAAAATGTATTAATTTTTCAATACAAATTGATAATGAATACATTTTTTTTACAGAAACAAATCTGAATATGGGCTGAAAATCGGGATGCGATGGACGGCGAGAACAGAATCATCCTCAACGTAGGAGGAATTAGGTAACAAACAATAAAACAATACATTTTAAATTACTGCATGTAATTAAAAGAAATAGCTAGTGGGGCGCATGGCATTGTGCCTTAAGCCAAACTGCTGGAACTTCCCGTACCAAAAATTTGTTTTTAAAAAAAATTAACATTTTTGAAAGAAATTTACTCTGGAAAAAATAGATTTTTCAGAAACTATAAATTTTTGACAAAAATTTACTTTTTTTGAATAAAAAAGACTTTTTGAAGAAAAATTTAATTTGAAATATTTTGGAAAATTTTCAAAGCAATCGTACTGCTTTAACTGCGTAGAGACAAAATATCGAATCGCGTAAGCGCCGCGTCGCCGTCTAACGGATAAACATTGGTACAGAACCCATAGGAATGTAAACAAAATTTATACTTATTGTTAAAAACTTTATAAATTATCTGATAATTTGATGTGCATATATTTAATGATCATTTTTGACCGCCAAATGGCATTTTTTTACTTTTTTTACTAGATCTCTGAAACCGCTAGACCTGCCTTCCCAAAAAATTTACCAGTTGTTCATTTCGTCAATACAAGTAAAATGTTTCTTGAATTATTAAAATCGGACGCTGCGTTCTCTTAAAAACTGAGATACCGTTTTTAGCACTTTTTGCTCCGTATCTTCGGAACGGCTAGACCTGCTTTCGCCAAAAACTAATTAGCACGTCTCCTTATCAATATTAATTGAACGTTTTTTGAGTTATTCAAATCGGTTGATCGGTGTTCCTGAAATCGTCAACCAAAATTCGTATCCGCACAAACACACGCGAACACACACATACACACACACACATACATCCATTTTTTCTAAGGTATGCCAAAATATTCAGAAATTTTTGAAACGTCAAGATATGTAAAAATTTTCTTTTCGATTTTTTTGCGATTACTTTAACTTGCCCTACGGGAAGTTACTAGGTGTATATGGCATTGTGCCTTAAGGCAAATTTCTGGAAATTCTCGTATCAGAATTAAATATTTGAGAGAAAAAAATCAGTAATCAATGAATGTTGATACATGATTAATAACAATTGTTTTAAACATCTTTAAAAAGATAATTATAATCTCTATATATTTTATCGTTCATAAAATATGCAGGATATACAGAAAAAACACTTGAGAAAGTTTATATTAGCAGGTTGTGCCGAATAAATCCATCTGAGGAAATATTTCTTATGTTTAGAATAACGCATTTGAAATATATACATTTTCAGACTGCTTTGTAAATTTAAAATTCTTATTTGAAGTATTAAACTTTGTATATCTTTGAAAATTTCAAATAAAAATTTTCTGGAAATTTTGAAATTTGCTTGAACCGTGTGAGTGAATTTTAAAAATTAACAATCTCGGTACAGATCCCAACAAAATTGTAACAAAATTAGTACACATTTTTGAAAATTTTATTAAATATCTGATAGTTCGATGGGAGAAAAATTGCATCCAAACATACAAACACACACCAACATACATCCATTTTTTCTAAAGAATGCCAAAATAAAAACCTTCAAAACGTGAAGATATGCAAAAATTTTCATTCGCGTTTTTTTGCGATTACTATAACTTGCCCTACAGGAAGTTAATAATGTTTATAAATTGTATTTATAAAATGCAGATAATTTAGTTAATTTATATTTGCTAGATTTTCGTAGTGTCAAGTCTCAACTCGAACTTCGACTTGAAATTGAAAAGGCAGAACACGAAACTTACTACCAGAAAATTCATATAAATTCAAATTGATGAAAACGATGTTAATAAATCGAAAAGTATCCGAATATGAGTTTCAATTGTAATACATTTAATAAATATTTGAGTATTATTGCAATGTTAAATAAATATTAAAAGGTAATGAAATTTGTATTTATTGCTGTTACAAATGTCATAGTATCATAATTATGCTCGTTAGCTCACAGTTTACTCGTACATACATTTTTTTAATTCATTTTAAATTTGTTTCTTATAAATACGAAATTGTATGATATTCTCTATTTATAGTAAATCTAGATATATACATTGCTTTTAGATAATTTATTTTACTATATTCAGCGTACTTCTGAAACATATTGCTTCAATTTCATTTTGCCTTTATGGTTTTATTTTTGATTTCAAAACATTGACATACAGAACTTATACGTTTGATCCTAAAGCTAATATCCTTTGAAAATTAACAAATAAAATATAAAAAACTCCATTTAAAACTAAAATATGTAGAAGAATACATGCTGTTCAAGAAAATTTATAAAATACTAGAATAATTATCTAGAATAATTGTCGGTTTTTGTTAATAATTAAGCTCGTTGTAGCCGAAATGCAAAAAATCTATTCTAAAGACTGAATTGTTGAATTCTAAAGATTATTTCAGTGATTTTTTTTAACATTTTAAGGAATTAAATTCAAATACATGACGAAGAAAACAATTGATCCTTGTAGGATTAAAGCGTTGTTATTAGCTACTTGTGTTAAAATATGTTATGCTAAAATTGGATATAATATTTGATTTTTATAAAATAATTAATAACAAATCTTATATGGAATATAAACTAACGATCAAAATTTATGCTGATCATTCTACTTTTGTTCATATCATTTCACATTTATTAATTATATTAGAGCGAGAACAGCAAAAAAACAATATAATTATAAAACATAACTTTGTATTTGGTTACAAAAATCTTTTATAAAATGTAAAAAAAACGCAAATATGACCCAACAAAATTTAGAGATTACAGTTTGACATTTTTACTTGCATTTATGTGGATGTTTTCGACCTCGAAAATACTCTTATTTTACATTTCCAACATTTGTTTCTATTTCTATAAATAAATACAATTAAAATAACAAGATATATATATATGACAAAAAAGAAAAACTATTAGCAGTTTTCCAAAAAAATCACATCTCCGAGTTTAAAAAAAGGTTTTTTAAAAAAAACAACGAAATTTATCGGATATTAATAGTACACTGACAAACTGTGACTACATTATAAAATCGATTATCGATTTTATATGTGTGACTAAATTACTGAAATATATTTTATAATTTAATGAAGAAGTTAATTGCATTTATGCAATACACAAATATTTTCTTTATTTTCAGATACGAAACATATAAAGCTACTCTGAAAAAAATACCAGCAACTCGTCTTTCCAGGCTGACTGAAGCTCTCGCAAACTATGATCCAATACTAAATGAATATTTCTTCGACAGACATCCAGGTGTATTTGCTCAAGTTCTGAACTACTACAGGTATGTGCATGGTATCACATTTAAATATCATCATACAGTATCGAAATTTCGTCTCAAATACATTCATCGCCTCTCTGAAGTAATTTCGGGATCCTGTAAACGTCTTTGCTTTCCCGTTTATAACATCACCGAAATCAACAATGTTATCTTCTGGATTGTTTTTGCAATACCGTGTTACAGCATGAAGAATCAAAACAAGGAATAATATCTTATTTAAAGGTGAATTGAAACCCGAAGCTATTTGTAAAACACATCAACGTCGTACACAAGCTCCACCTTATAAATTGTAATAATGATGCGTAGGTTGATACATTAAATTTGTTTTGATACAGGTTCAAAGCGAAACGATAAATAAGCGCGTGGGAATTTAATTTAACCTTTTATTTTACAAAATACGAATTTATGATTCTGTAATATGGAAGCAAAGTCCGTTCCGAATGGGAGCATTTGAGATAGAAGACCGGTAATTGAATTTCGCTAAAATGCACAGAAATCATTACAAGGAGAAAAGGGTCAATGACAAAAGGTGAATGATTTTCAGGACGGGGAAACTGCACTACCCGACGGACGTGTGCGGGCCGTTGTTCGAAGAAGAGCTCGAGTTCTGGGGACTGGACTCGAATCAAGTGGAACCGTGCTGTTGGAGCACTTACAGCGTTCACAGGGACACCCAGGTAATTAAACTAATATTCGAATCTATTCAGAAGAACATTTAAATTCAACAGGCAATTGAATTAAACCAAGAATACCAATCGTCGTCCACGCGCGCACTCGCATAGGACGCCTTCATCGCAATGCGATGGCTTATGCCATTCAGGATGACATTATTATTGAGAGTATATATATATAAATATATATATATATATATATATATATATATATAAATAAGTCGGGTTTTCCTTCCTGGCAAAATAACTCCAGAACGCACGAACCGATTTCGACAATTTTGCATTCTTTGGAAAGGTCTCGGGCTCCGCAAGGTTTGTAGCTAAGATATTTAGTGGTGCATGGCATCGTGCCCTAATGCAAATTGCTGGAACTTTACGCACCGCAATTAAAAATTCTAGTAATGACATTAGTGAGAATTATCAGAATTATGCTTGGTTAAGTCAACGAGCAATTCTTGCCGCCAAGAAATATGATGTACACGCACTGATTTTTACCATTAAATCAAAAATTGCTGGCGATTTGGTGACATACCAATGATTCTGACTGGTCTTCCGTTTGACTTCAAACGATTGCAATTTCCATTTCGCCTTGCGTTTGCAATGACAATTAATAAGTCACAAGGCCAATCGCTTAGTGTTTGCGAGATAAATTTCAAATAGATCATTTATAAAATCATTGTTTTTCACTGTTGTATAATATAATCAAATTTTTCCTTTTCAAATATAAAACAAAAAAATTCTTCATCTTTCTCACGAAACCATCTGGTGGCGAAACGGAGTTCGTCGTATTTGCTAGTATATATATAAATATATAAACATATACATATGTGATTAATTTCTTGGAGGGCGTAACATCAAGTAAAAAATAAATAAAGTAAAGATCTTATAAAATCCGTCACAAAAAATAGACTCACTATTTTAAAAAACAAAATAATTAACCCCAACCTGAGCTGAACTTCCACAAAAGATACAATTTGTCTGCCTTACATTAAGGAACTTTATCCTTTGTGGTAAAAACTTTTTAATAACGCAAATCTTCGTTTAATATGCAACATCGATTTGATGCTTAATTCCTTTTTCTCAAATTTGAAGCCGCGAACTAAATTGGAACGAGCAATGGCTGTGATTCTACCTACATTGACGAAACAGAACAGAACCTTATTAAACGTTTAAAACAACACGACAATAACTCAAAAAACAAAAATCAAGGTCAAACGATGATACCAGAACATTTAAAACTAAATAACCATACGTTCAATTTTTATGACGTAAGGGTTCTTTATCATAGGTCAAAAGTCTCACGAAGACGCTTTGCGAAATCGTCTTTTATTTTCTTATTGTTAGAGGAACTGATGCTCTAGCTTTCCTTGCAAAAAAAACTATTAACTTAAATTTAATCCATAAAAATATTTTATTGCTTTAATAAAGTAATCACTGACATTGAATGCTTGTTTTCAATTATTAATTATTCACAAGTTATGTGTTCATAATATGTATCAGTGTTAATCTAAGAATTAACGCTTACAGAAGTAATGCTTTCTGTAATTTTCTAATTTAAGATTTAGATATATATAGTCTGTCCTTTTAGTTTCTTTCTCTTTCTTTCTTTTTATTCTTGCTCTGATTATATTTAGTTTTAAACGTTACTTTTTCTAGAACTACTGATGATGACGTAGAATCTTTCGCCGAAACGTATGGAAAAATAAAGATGTTTTAAAACTCTTTACTTTATTTATTTCTTACTTGATGTTACGCCCTCCACGAAATTAATCATACAATTCAACATCAAATTTAAACATCTCCATCATATATATATATATATATATATATATATATATATATATATATATTAAAATTGAAAAATTTATTTGATAGCCCTTTATTTATCGATATGCAAAGACTACATTTTAATGAATAACTGAACAATTAGCCTGACTAAGTCTGACTACAAGTCTGACCAAGCCTGACTCTCTGACTCCAAGATTGACTCCAAGTTTGACTGCTGATCTAAATCTTTACTACTTCTTATATACTAAATATTTGTACACAAAACATGATTCTGAAATCTAACAGCAAGGACGGAAGAACTTCGGAAAACCTTCAAATAGCACGTAGTGCTTTGACAAAATTAATAATGATAAATTATATTTATGATCACAGAATAGAATATTTAAACAAATTAGCAACCCTAAAAATTATTGCTCATTCTCAAAGATTGATAAAGAAGCAAAATAAGATATATAAAATTTGAAGTTATTAGGCCGAAATTTTATGATAGTGCAGTAGTATATTATCTTTCTAAAATGATGTGCCTGCACAGTTCTATTTATTACTTTGGCCTGCGGGACAGTAGCTAAGACGATATTATGCAGGACGGATATCATGACCAATCAGGATAAAAAAATGTTTTTGTCAAAGAAATACATTTGATTACTTTTATGTAAACACAAAGAATAAAACTTTGAATATAAAATAATCATAAAAGAACAAATATTCTCTTTGTAATTAAAGAAATCGCACAGATCACTATCGATACGCATGACAAGAATACATTGAAGTTATGTTGAAAATTATCTTTGCAATATAAAAAATAGATAACTAAAACCACTACAAGTTATTACGTATTCACAAATAATTTACGATATATACTTAATATAAAAAATTCTAGTGAAGTACATATGGCAATATTAAAATAATATGAAAACATCAATATTGTATAACTGAATAACTGTTAATAAGGAAAAATCATTTGAGCACAGAAATCTACAACTTACTAATTAATCCAAACATAAAGTTATGCTTCTTTACTGTTAAACTTCGGCTAATTATTTCGACTTTATTTTTTATATAAAATATTTATTCCACTTTATCTCTAGAAGCAACTCGTTGATTAAAGTTGAGTTGAGTTTATTTTAAACTTACTGGTTTTAAAAGTTCCGAACAGGAGCTTCAAAGGAAAAATTTATAAAAGCACGCACATAAATACAATTAAAAAATCTAAAGTATATAATAAAATTATAATGTTTAGAACAATTACGAACATCGACTACCATATCATCTCGTTCATTTCGTATCTGGTTCATTTTTTAAGTTATAATAAGCCTATCAATGGAACAAATTTGCATTTGTTATTTGAATTAGGTTTTGTGAATGGTTCATTATGCAAAATATTCAGTACCGGCTTCAAATATTCAAATACCGACGTTGTACATACTAAATATTCGAAATATATAATGAAATAAATTATATTGGGTAATCATAAACAAGATCAGACAACTTCACAACGTTGCAGTTTTCAAAATATTAAAAAAAAGCATTATATTTTTCTGATAAAAAAAAAATCTTTTAACTTATTTTTGACTAGCAATAAGTAAAACTAACAAAATAATAAAAATAGTATGAGTAAAACAAGCGATACAACAACATGTGTATTGCAGGCTGGATGACTCATCTAATTCAATTAAGGTGAATTGTGTTGTTTTGACTTAATTATGACACAGGAATTAATATATATATATATATATATATATATATATATATATGTGTGTGTGTGTGTGTGTGTGTGTGTGTGCGTGTGTGTATGTGCAACATAATGCACCATGTATATTATAATACATTGTATACAATGTAAATATTTCGCATACCGCCAAGAAATGCATTTGATTAAAATTCTCGATACATAGTTATTTTGAAACTATAATAGGCACGAACAATACAGTCAATTAATGAAATATATTTCATAATCAATTTCCATAATAGCATAATCCTATAACAAATAATACAATTTACCGATAATATCGCATTATAAAATACGATTTCCATTAGAATTGATAAAATCTGCGAACGACATAAACTTATGAGATATATATTCTTCATATTTAATATGACAAACACAGGGATTATAGAGAAACTGCGCCACTGAAAATAATAAATTGCATATTGTGCAACCTCACATATAAATATATGCTGAATATAATCATGATATAACAAAAATTTATGTAATATTAAAGTAGGGTTGGTATATATGCACTTGTCTATGATGAGAGATAAATGAACATAAAAAATCCATAATCTGTGCAAGTCTGAGTTTTTTGTGAGATTTTTTATTACATCGCAGTGCTAAACCAGGTCGTTTTTAATTGCAACAATATTACGGCTAGAAATTTGCTTCTAAATGTTTGCTCATATTCAACAGTGTAAAATAAATAATATAGACAATTTTAAACTTCCCGTAGGGCAAGTTATAGTAATTGCAAAAAAATCGAAAATGAAAATTTTTATATATCTTAATGTTTGAAAGGTTTCTGAATATTTTGGCATACCTTATAAAAATGGATGTATGTGTGCGTGTGTGTGTGCGGATACAAGTTTTCGTCGACGATTTCGGAAACACCGATCAACCGATTTGAATAATTCAAGAAACATTCGATTTCGTATTGATGAGGAAACGTGCTGATTAGTTTTTGGCGAAGGCAGGTCTAGCCGTTCCGAAGATACGGGACAAAAAGTGTCAAAAACGGTAACTTCAGTTTCTAAGAGAACGGAGCGTCCGATTTTATTAATTCAAAAAACATTTTACTTGTATTGACAAGATAAAGAACTGATTAAATTTTTGCGAAGGCAGGTCCAGCGGTTATGGACTCTCAATAAAAATAAGTTAAAAAAATGTCGTTTGGCACCCCACTAGTTTTTATTTTATATATAGTTAGTTAAGTAATACATAAATTTTGATGCCAAATTTTTAGCATTCACTACTTAATTTATTACTGTGCATCTTATAGTCCACTTTTAATTTTCTTGTAATTTATTCTACATAGTTTTTATGTGATGACTTTATGTAGAACAGAAAAAAGCTAGAACATTATTTTCCACAGTCGGGAATGAGGGCAAAAAAGTTGCAAGCGATAGTAGACTAAAACTTAGTTTTTGCATATTATTAGGATGTTAGCAAAGAATGTTATATGAAACTTCTAGTTTCTGACTTGAAGTCGAACTTGGGTATCATTCGGAAAGAGTGCCAAATTCCGATAAATCTTAAAAAAATATAAAACTATCAATTTTGCCTTATGCTAAAAATTCAAGATTTCCATACCTCCAAGGCGATAAAATTTGGAAAGTGAGTTAAAAATTTCATTACAATATGTAATGAAATGTTAAAACATAATATAATTAATCAACTCTACATAATAACATTTTTCTATTTCAAATAAATTCTTTATTATATATCAAATTAAAACTTTGTATGTTATAAGTTTTATCAAAGTATCAAAATAGTAGTAGTTTAATTTATTTCCATAATGATTAAGAAAGTTACGGCATTTTTGTCAGTGCCCTCGAGAGGCATAAATTTAAATCCGGCTCTGTGTGTAGCATGCTTGAAGGTAAATGATAAATTATTTTTAAAATTTATAGATGTTTTTTAAATTTTGAACGTCACTAAATATTATAATTAACTTTAAGTAATATCAGACAAATAATAGAACGCATTTTAAGTATGGTCTTCTTTTTTGAATAAAAATCGATTAACCGTTTTGTTTTTGCAAATCAGGGAGCTTTTATAATTAATTTGAAAGAAATTTTGCTTACATCATGCTCATTTATTTTACTACATAATACTATACTATCACCTATATAGGCATATCATATTTTTGTAATATTTTGTACGGCATTGCCAGTTTCTATTTGCTATTTGATAAGATTTTACATTTTTCATTGAAACTGGGAACGGATATGTTGTGTGTGTGTGTGAATAGGAAAATGGATGTCGAAAAATTTAAAAACAATTTAGCAACTATTGGACCTGCCTTTTCAAAAACTCATCAATTCCTAAAAAGCTTATTCAAATTAAAAGTTAATTGTATTATCAAGAGAATTCATATATTGCTGAATAAATTTTTACTCTGTAATTTATTATTGGTATAATATTCTATATTATTATATTTATTGCTTTTGATTTTCCAATTTCGAACTGTTTTACATTGAACTTTTCCTAAAATAATAACTGTTGTCAAATATAATACTTCATTATTAATTAAATAAATTATTAATTAAATAAATTGAATAAAATGTGATTGTCAAATAATACACACATACACAATAGTCATATTAAAATTTTTATTTATACGCGAATTTTTTCAATAGTATGATTATCAAGCATTTTACCATTTTAAAATTCTAAAGCGCCAACTTTTGATGAAACTTGCCATCACACTTTAGTACTTTTTTTTTTATAAAAGAGGACCTTTCAAAGTCGACCGGTTTTAAAAATTTTAAATTAATACTTCGACAGAAGGTCTTAATACTTGAAAATTTTGCTTAATTGTGTAATTATTTTTTACTGAGGTTTTACAAATACAATTCACAGTTATGGTTCCAAAGTTTAAATGAACAAAAATAATGAAAATGAATCATAATATCTCTAAGATGGTCATAATTTTACCAAAGCTCTGAGTTGTAGTTAAAAGCTCGTAATATTCAAAAAACGTGAGATAGTTTTATTTCTATTTTTTTTAGAACAGTTAAGGCCAGTATTTTCACCTTGTTTTAGCTTAACATCAAGTTCTAAAACACCGCCAGTATATATTTACATATATTTATATTTAAAATTATTTTAAAAAACAGCTATCACAGATTAATTATAACTAGTTAATTCCAGTTCACTTAACCTTTTCTTAGTCATGCACATGTTTCTTACACATTGCACAAAACACGTGAAGTGAATAAGAAAGTGTAATATAATTCATAGGCTTGAGCATAATGTACTGTATTAGTAAATTGAATATTCCATGAATATATTACCAAGGTTAATTAGCAGATCTGCTGATGAGTTAATTATTCTGTTTGTACGAATGCCATTAATTGCCACGTCCTACCCTCCGGCGTCGTAGCATTAAATACATAAGTTCATATATAGCAAGGACTGACCTATATATGTGCATATGTATTTGTACAGATATATATATATATATATATATATATATATATATATATGTGTGTGTGTGTGTGTGTGATATCTAAGTATATATCATACAACGATTGGAGACGCCGATGAAGCGTCTGCGAAATGACTGATTCCAATGTAATTACGAATTGCACTTGGCAATAAGTTGATATCAATGAGATAGTAAATGAGATGTGTACGTGAGTATTATAATAAATTCTGGTCAATTTTACTTAGATCTTTTAATGTTTTAAATATAGAGAAAAATACAAATACAAAAAAAGGAAGTTCTTACAATGCTATTAAAATAACTAGAAAGAGATTAAAATTAGTGTAGGTTAAATTACAAAATTGTTAAAAACTCTTGTAAAATTTTTTATCATTTTTTTTTTAATATTTCATGATTATTTCATTTCATTCTTCTAAGTAGACACAGCTTTTTTAATATAATTTTTTCTTTCAAAACATCAACTGATTATTGCACATATTTATTTTTGTAATAAATTCATTACCCATGCAAAGAAATTAACAACGTTTAGTGCTAACATACATTAGTGAATAAATTTCTAAGTAGATGTATGTTTTTTATCCATATTATAGGACAAATGTATACTATGTAAGTGTAATACTATGTAAATTAACACAAATTTCAAAGTTGGAATGGTTTTATATTATAAACTTTGTATTATAAATAAGAAAACGAGCATATTGTGCAAAAAAATATTTTCTCACAAGTCAAACATACAATGATACATGATTTTTTTTTATTAGGCATACTTAGATAATTTTCTCTTGTGCTCAAAATATAAACCCAAAACTTTCTGCATATCAAAATATTTTTATCCGGAGTAAAATATGCGTGAGTTGGGTTTAAAAAATTAGGTTGATACATTTTGATGCTTTTAGGTATATATGAGTATTTGTTATTTTGTAAAACTTTATAATGTAAAAGGTATGCCTATACTAACGGCACTAGATTTGAAATTTGTTCATAATATTTAAATTTTCATTATTTATTAGTGTTGTTTCAAAAGGTATCAGTGTGGAGTGAAAATACCATTTTTATTTAGAACATTTTCATTGTGCCTCTTAGTTATCATTTTTTTCTTGAGCAATTTTTTTTTTCACCATAGGGTAGGGCGCAAAGGTTCAATTTGACTTTGGACGATTCTATTGTCAAAACCAAAACAATATAATATATCACAACAAATAACACACATCAAACCGACACCTATCTGACAATGTTCAGTAAAACAACTAGTAAATTCTTATTCGTTATTTTAGAAATGTGTTATTTTTGCAGTTTATTACCTGGTTCTTTTTGCCTCATTGAAGGGCAAACAGATCCAATGTCTTATTTTCAATTTTGAATGGTCGATACGTAATAATAGATGTTTATATTAATCAATGCAAAAAATAAATTTAATAAGTACATTTTTTAGGGTGCAAGATAGCCTTGATCGGGTATTTTATCTGAAATGATCATCTGTAAAGTTGAACACAAAGTATTTAACTTATCTCTTGTAAAATTGCATTTTTTTAATTAATTTACTTTTTGTTTACTATTTTTTATTGCTCATTTAACAAATGTGTCAGTTTGAAGGTTTATGTGTTTTTTTACCCCACCCACGTGTAAGATTTTATAGAGATTATATAAAAAAAAACTATTGAAATTACCTTGAAAATGACAGTACATGTTATAAAACTGGTAAACAACAGTGCTCACAACCCAAAAAAAAAAACTAACAACGAAGGAAACTAATTTTGTTATGGATTTTTAAACGTTGCCGTTTATCTCTTGATACGACGATATAAGTATCAAGGTGATGGTAGGTTATACCTTTTTGTAAATTTTTTTTAACTTTACTATTGACATATCTGTAAGGGACCTTTTTACGCGAACCTGTACGCTATGAAATATCTTTGTTTACAATATTAATTAGATATTTCACACAAATCACAAATATTTTCTATTAAATTTCAGAGCACGCTCGCGATTTTGGACAAACTCGAATTAGACTCTGAACAACCGACGGAGCAGGCCGTTGCGCGCCTCTTTGGTTTCGAAGACGCGTTGCTGGGTGGCCGACTGACGACATGGCAGCGACTCAAGCCGCGCGTTTGGGCACTTTTCGACGAACCGAAAAGCTCCACGGGCGCCAAGGTAAGGCAACAATATATTCTAATAAGTAATTGATATTGAAAGTATTGATACGATTGATCTAACTTTATAAAATCGCCGTTATGAATCTTATAAACTTTTGCAGCCTTATTATTAATCATTATTTATACTTGTTAACTTCCCGTAGAGTTAGTAATAGTAATTGCAAAAAATTCGAAAATGAAAATTTTTATATATCTTTACGTTTCAGAGGTTTCTGAATATTTTGGCATACCTTAGAAAAAATGGATGTATGTGTGTGTGTATGTATGTGTGTGTATATGTGTGCGCGTCTGTGTATGTGCGGATACAAGAGCAATTGCTTTGAAATTTTTTTTAAAATTTCCAAAATTTTTCAAAATAAAAGAAAACATTTTTTTCTAAAAGTTTTTTTCCAAAAAATTAAATTTTATTCAAAAATTTAAAATTTTTTAAAAATCAAATATTTTCAAAGAAATAAAAAATGTAATCTTTTTTTAAAAAAAAACTTTTTGTGCGTAAAGTTTCAGCAATTTGCCTTAAGGCACGATGCCATACACCGCTATATATAATAATAATAATAATGAGTAGTGCTGCCCTAGGGCAGGTCCGTGAGCTGAGTTAAACTCCAACTCGATTCAGGGAAGAAGTAGTGTGGGAGTTTTTCCCATTTCCATTTCACACCGCAGAGCCCGAGATGGGCTTATTTTCAATTGGAAACACATTTTGATCTATATTACCGCTATATATATATTTTTTTAAATATCTTTAGTTACTATGAGGAGAAGCTACTGGCAGCAGTGATATCTAGACAAGGTATGAGTAGATTCGCCAGTTTAGATAAAATTCACATCGTTGATAGGGAATACGGTCAAAATTGTATATATTTACGAAAAAAGCTATAATCACAATCCTATTAGATGTTGAGCATTATTGTCACTGTCATGTCGGATTAAACAGTTCAAACGTGTATCACACATTCAAAAGATTATTTTGTGGCGTTTTTCTCATATTTTTTGGGACCTTATTCATTGTTATTTGTAATTATCTTTAATAAAATTAATTGACTCATGCCAGTACTAGTGATTTCAATCAATTTTATTGCAAAAAATCAGGCGTCCTATGAAGTTTATTTATTTTTGTTCACTTTCTGACAAAATTGCATACTAATACGAGTATAATAGACAAAATAAGTTAGTACTATTTCACAAGCGGTACAGTGTAGTTTATTCGAGGCCACGCAGAAAGAACATCGAAACCTGATGAAGGTGATTGGCTTTTAACTTCTACTCTATCTATTTCTAAAAACAGGCTAAGAGATCTACCGGTACAAAGCAAAGACTTCTTTTCCCTATTCATGATGTATGACTTGTTCCCTTGGAGCTTTTGTTTCATGTACTAATGTCCGAAAGAAGACGGTTATTGTAATTGGTTGCGTTTTTCCATGTTATTAGAGTTCCCATTTGTTTAAAAGACTGTTACTTGTATCCCATGAAACAAAAATTATTAAAAAAAAAACAGAACACTATGCCATGTGGTTCATACCGTCCATGTTGACCGTCCACCTAGTTGAATAATTAAGGCAATGCATTACTGATTTTAACAGAAGTACACAGTAGAGATATAAAGTATAGTTGTAATATAAATGCTCTTTTCTAATTATAAGCATGAACGAAGTATTTACTCATCTATAATTTTTTATAACAAAAATTAGTTTTTATTATTCATTAGCTTTTATAATTTGGTATTCTACAATCTGCTATGATGATTTTTTATACTGATAGTTACCAGAAGACAAAGTTTCTACATAAGTAGATATTGCACATTCTCGACTCATGGAAAATTTATAAACAAAAATATTGAATATATCATAATTGCCAAACACAAACTGCAGTCAACAATTGCATTATTTTGGGATTAATTAGGGAAAACTATTTTAAATTATTTTAAAATTAATTGATATAGTATAAGCGCACTTCATTAATTAAACGAATTGTACATAAATTGTTATGTGTATAAAATTCGCTTCTATAACACAATATTTCTTGAAAATAAAAAATTCTAAAAAACTTAAATATGACAGACAAATCTTTAAATTAAATACGATATTCCTAATGATCCCGTTTTCGATAGATTGTTAAGGTAGTATTACATAAATATTATCGAGAGTTGGCTGTAAACCCTTTTTATATGTTAAGATTTGTCTATCATTATTAATAAAAATGTGTTAAAAATTAAAAATTGTGCTAAACAATTGTGCATTAAAAATACAAAATAGAATTTCGATTAGATTAACTCATAGTGATGAATCTTGATGCAAAGTTCGTCCATGGATGACATTCATAAACTCTGGTAGTCGAGTGGATGTCCTCCATGAACGACACAGAAGAGAATATGATCTGAAAATTCTAAATGCAGTCTCATTTTTTATCTCTGATGGGTTTTCTGTAACAAATTAATCGACGTATATTAATGTCAAATCAATGGATTTATTTTATTTTTTTTTAATATCATCGAGTCCGATGAAACACAAGTTCTAAACAAGCAATATCGAGGGTCATGTTACATTCATAAAGCGTATTAACCGCGTTATGTTCAAACTTCAAACAACGTTCTCGACTGCGCAAATATTCAGACACGCTGGAGAGGATGAAATTGTAAATGTGTATTTAGGTAAATATATTTATCATATAGAAATAGAGAATTTAAACACTGAACACAACTCTGAACACATTACGCAATATGGTAAAATTGATAAATTACGTAAAACGCGTGTTCTCCTATTTACACTTTCATTATTCACACTTATTATTAAATAGGAAATATTGTCGTATGTATGCGTTGGTGGCAAAATTGGTAAAATCTGATCACGATTGAAATATAAATAAATGGAAAACAGTTGAGTTATCTTCTAATATTTCTATCCAAAGATTATTAATAATGTAACAGTAGAATAATTGAATTGCCTTCTAATAGTCATTTGTATAATAATCGTAATTAAAAATAATCATAGAAAAACAAAATTTATTACAACAGATTATTGAATGTTGAAATTACAACATTCTATTACAACAGATTATCTGTTCAGAAAGTGTTGTATATACATAAAAGCAAAAATAGTAGTCTACAACGATACTAGAGACTGGTAGCATTTTATAGAGAAATGTGCAGGTAATTGATAAATAACGCTTAATTGAAAGATTATATATATATATATATATATATATATATATATATATATACAGGTCCATGAGCAGAGTTAAACTCCAACTCGATTCAGGGAAGAATAGTGTGTGAGGTTTCCCATTATCATATATATGATATGTAATATATAATAGCAATTCATTTATAACCCCAATCCACATCACAATAAATTTACACTCTATGTTTTCAGTCAGAAATAAAATAATTTTCACGTTTTCCGATAAGAACTTCGCCAACTCGCTAACACTGTCAAATTTGTCAAAAAATTCTGCACGTTTAAAAATCATTCATATCACAAATGTCTAGTCTGAGACATATAGTACATTATAAAAATGATATTGCCATATTTTATTTCATTTCTGACACTTTCAGAAAATGTTGTGGGTACCACGTGCTATATTGTAGCAATAAATCTCATAAGATTTATAGTGTTATTTAAAAAACATATACACTATAATTTATAACGTTGAATGTATTCAATTCAACAAAAGTATTAAATTTTTATAGGTATTATTTATTGGCTGAAATTGAAGCTGTTTTCAAACAAACTACTATGAAAAAGTCGTAAAGCCTAAAGTTTTATGGCCTGGCAATAAAATCGTATTTAAAACACCTAAACAAGCCTAAAGAGAAGTGCTGCTGGTTTCAACTTTCTCGTAAATATTATTCTAAACTATTCGATGAGCAATTTTTACACCAAACTTTAAAATACCAGTTGAAGAAAAACATAAAATAAATTAAGACATGTGCAAGTATTTAACTTGAATCAACTGATGGTTTGATTCAACTTCCAATCGAATCAAATACTTGTTTTTTGAATTACAAAGCTTTTCCATTATCTTTTCTGTAGTCATTATCAATTTAGTAAAAAACGAATATTTAAAAGCCATTTGATGAAACTCGCTAAAGACTTGATTAGTTGTGCAAAATCGGCCAAGCATTTTTTTTTTAAATTTGCTTAAATATTTTATTATTTTTTGTTTTAAGTTTTTATCATACTTGTAGCGAACAATTATAGAAAAACAATTTACCGTTTGTTTACCACTGTAAAACATTTTTTTTAATTTTTAGTTAACCTAATAAAACGTTCCAATTTGTGTACATATTTTCACAGGCTGATAATATTTTTTTAACTTCCCGTAAGGTTAAGTTATTTTAATCATCCAAACATTAGAAGTAAGAATTTTTGCATATCCTCACCTTTCATAGGTTTCTGATCATTTTGGCATTCCTCAGAAAAAAATTATGTGCGTGTGTGTGTGTGGTTACAATTCTTTGTCGACATTTTCGTACCGTATAACCGATTTGAATAATTCAAAAAGCAATCGATTCGTATTGATTGGGAGATGTGCTGATTAGTTTTTGGAAAAGGTCGGTCCACTAGTTTCTGAAACAAGTACGAGGAAAAAGAGTGCAGAAAATAGAATTTAAGTTTTTATGAGAACTTGAGATCAAGTTTTGTTTATTTGCTTTTCATGTACATAACGATATATGAAAGTCATTGTCCAATTCATAGGTTTCTATGTTTTGTCTACACAATACGAATAAAGAAAGTTACAGCATTTTTAATAATCTATTTGAAAGCATTTAATAATACTCGAATATTACGTTGCGGGAAGTTCCAGCGATTTGTCAAGTACGCCCCCAGTGCCCCTTTCACTAGTTACGTTTTTATTTTAACTATAGAACTTATTCAATTCAATCATTAAATTTTAGCAAAATAATAATAACTAGCTGTAAGTGGAATTCTGTCTTATGGCAATTAAGGCATCGTGCCTTAAGGCAAATTGCTGGAACTTCCCGTGCCAAAAATTATTATTTTTTTAA